CTTCCCAAACGCCACCCCCGCCCCCAGGTTCTGCCAATCCGGGCCCTACCGGCAGAAGCGCCTAGAAAGCCCCCGCCCCCCGGCTAGTTGGCGTCACGCGTGACGTCCCGCGTGATGGTTGGGAGGGCTGGAAGGCAGGTCTGAGAGCCGCCGAGGTGGAACCGCGGAAATCGTGAGTGCTCGCTGCCCCGAGCCGGCTCGGCAGTCCCGAGCTGGTGAAGGCCTGCGTGGAAAGGCGCGCTCTGTCCTGTCGGATTCAGTCTGTCCGGCTCTCTGGCTGTCTGGAGGTTGGCGCGGGGTCAGTGGGGGGACGTCAGGGTGGGGCTCTGTATGATCACAAATTCAAGTCTGCAGCCCATGGATGTGGGTAGTGTGTGTGTAACGGTCTTTTGTGGGCCAGTGTCTACAGGGTGTGTGCACCGCGTTTGTATGTCTAGGTAGTGGCGCATGGCGGTGCCTTTGTGTGTGGGTATGTGAGTGTGAGAGAGAGAAGAGGGTGTTCCTGCCCATGAAGGAGGAAGTGTGGGCTGGAGAGGATTAGTCATTCTGCAGGATTTTGCCCAATGCAGCCAGATGGCTGCTGGAGCTGTCTGCGTTGCACCCTGCAGGGTGTGTCCACTGGATCCTGCCCTGTTCTGTAGGCCGGTGGCTCAGAGAGAGGTGGATGGGTGTCTGTGCCAGCCCTGCCCAGCCAGGGCACAGGGAGAGTGTGGTCATTCAGCGTGGACGTAAGAAAATGCATTTGGAGAAGAGGCCTGAGCATGTGCCACACACACACACACACACACACACTCACGGCTGACATCAGAATCCCCCGATCGAGATCTGGAACAGATAAGTCCTGGGGTGGCTCTGAGTCTGCTCTCCTCCAATCCGGAACTGGAGTGTGGGAATGTCTTAACAGCCTTGGGGGTTTGTGTCTAGGTCTTAGGGCAGCCGCACCTGAAACTGACAGGCGTGTGGATGTGTAACGCAGAGGGTGCGTGTTGTGTCCCTGGAGCAGTGCGCAGCCGCGGGGAGCTAGCGCTCATGCGTCAGCCACACACGTGCGTCCTCACTCGTGAGAATCCGCACCGGCAGAGCACAGAGACACCTGCTTTCCTGGTTCTGGTCTTCCCTCCCTCTCCTGATTGGCCGCAGCTCCCTTGGCCAGACATGGCTGGGAAACAGCTCCTCCCCTCACCCTTGCTTGCCTACCTGAGTCACCTTGAGCTCTTTTTTTCTTCCTTCTGTAGTTTATTTACTTATTTCTTCCATGGGAGACTGGCACCCCACAGGGCTTCAGGCATTCTCGGTCACCCTAGGTCACAGGCATGCTTGCTCCTGGCCTGTGCAGGGAGGTTCTGGGATGCGCACCCAGGATCCGGGTCCAGTCTCATGGCACTACAACACTGCCTGGATCCACCCAAGTTCTTGCAGGGGCTGGTGACAGGCTCAGGGACAGGTGGGTTCAGGATCCCCCAAATTTCCCTCAGATGGATATCTTTTGTTTCCTAAACATTTTATTTTATTTGTTATTATTATTTTTTTTAGAGGTTTTTGCTATAGGGCGCGTGCGCTCACCAGACAGACAGAGAGAGACAGGGAGACAGAAAGCAAGAAATCACCCCCCAGGGGGATGGCCATGCTGCAGTCTCTTCTCCTCCATTGTCCTTTCAGGATCTTGGGCACGCATGCACACGCACCCGGCATGAGTTTTAAGCCACCGGGTCCGGGACGCGAACCATGGTCGACTACATGGGAGTCCAGCGACATAGCCATTACGCTAACTGCTGGTCCCTATTTGTTATTATTATCATTTTTAATTTGATTAGAGGTGGGGGGAGTGAGAAAGCAAGCTGCCAGGTCCGGAGCTCGAACTACTGTCAGCCATGTGGGAGTCCAGCACGTCAACCACTGTGCCACTTGCTGGCCCCTCAAATGGCACTCTTAAATGCCCACCCCCCTTGGAGTCCTCTGACTCTTGCCCCTGCCCTGCAGAAAATGGGTGCATTGCCCTTAGACATCAACATCCAGGAACCTCGCTGGGACCAAAGCACTTTCCTGGGCAGAGCCCGGCACTTCTTCACTGTTACTGACCCCCGAAATCTGCTGCTGTCTGGGGCGCAGCTAGAAGCTTCACGGAGCATCGTGCAGAACTACAGGTGACCCTCGCATCTGACCCTGGACCCCAGGTCTCGTCCCCTGCAGTGATATAGCATGGTCTGTACCTGCCTCCTGCAGGGTGAGAGTGGCTGGGCCCGCTCCTCCTCCCCTGCACTCTCCGTCCTGTCTGCTGGCAGTCCTGCCCACCCCCACCCTGTGGGTCCTGGCCTCACAGACAACCATGGCCCTGAGCTTTAACCCCAAGGATTTCGGGGCATTTGGGTTGAGGATGTGACAGTGAGAGACTGCTTTGTGCCTCACAAACCCTCCTCAGGGCCAGTCCCTCCTGGGCCACCCTCTGCAAGGACTGAGGGGCTCTAAGTAGAGCCCTCAGGCAGTAGGAGGGCATCCCCCCTTCTCCCCAGGGTGGGGGGCACTTGCATGTCCCACTGGAAACCATCATCACTTATAACCCAACATTTGGCAGAGACAGAGGACGATCCTGTGTGTGGCTAGAAAGGAAAGAAAAATGGGATCCTCTGCTCCCGGGAAGTTTTGGCCCTCCATCCCCCAGAGACAAGGAGCTCCTTGATCTGAGATTGGGGCTACTGCCTGGCCTTCTGCCCAGATTCCTCTGAGCTGGGCAGGCAGGGGCCAGGACAGGAGCTACTCCCCCGTGAATAGCCTGTCTGCTCCTTGCCAACTTCTGCAGGGCAGGCGTGGTGACCCCAGGGCTGACGGAGGACCAGCTGTGGAGGGCCAAGTATGTGTATGACTCTGCGTTCCACCCGGACACGGGGGAGAAGGTGGTCCTGATCGGCCGCATGTCCGCCCAGGTGCCCATGAACATGACCATCACCGGCTGCATGCTCACCTTCTACAGGCAGGTCTCGGCCCATGGCCCGCCACGAGTGCTCTGAGCTAACACATGGCTTGGTGACCAGTTCTTGCTCCTAGGACAATCGGGGCGGAGAATAGTGGGGGGTGGGGTGAGAGCTAGTGTTAGCATCTCTTCCATCTCTCAGAACCCAGCCTCGGGATCCTCCTGCCCCAGAGACTGTGTATGGGTGTGGGTGCAGGCAGGGGCTGACCTAGAGCCATCGCCTGGGTTCCTCCTAGGGCTTGGGAATAACCTTTGGGGTTTCATTATAGGGGCCCGAGGATGAAGGACACTATAGGGGTGCACAAGTAAATGTCTTTGTTCCCTCAGGAAGACCCCGACCGTGGTGTTCTGGCAGTGGGTGAATCAGTCCTTCAATGCTGTCGTTAACTACTCCAACCGCAGTGGCGACGCTCCCATCACCGTGGGGTGAGAGCTAGTCCCCAGAAGAGCTGCGGTGCTCTGGGGCCCTCTCCTCCCAGCCCCGTGACCCTCCTTTCACTCCTGTTCCTGGTGACCGTGCACCCAGTGGTTCAGCTCGCCAGCCTACCTGCATTCCCTAATGAGGGCATGAGGTCTTACTGTGCATGTTTTAGGGGGCCCACTTCTCTTCGAAGGGAGAGACTGGGGCTTCCAGACAAGTGTGCCCTGGAGCTGGGGGGAGGTGTCTGCGTGAGGTCGCCGTCCTCAGGCCCAGGACTGAGTATTTGACAGGTCCCTAAAGGGAAGAGCCCATGCTGGACTCCTCGCCCCTCCCTGTGACCTGGCTCTTCCATCCACAGGCAGCTAGGGACAGCCTACGTGAGTGCCACCACCGGGGCAGTGGCCACAGCCTTGGGACTCAAATCCCTCACCAAGGTAAAGCCCCCCACTCCACTAGCTCCCTACTCACCACCCCTCCAGCCCTGCCTACAGGCTGGCGTCTCTCTCCCCAGAGTCCCTCCCCACCCTGTGGCCCCCGGGCCTCTCAACAGCACCCTTCCTTCTCCAGCACCTGCCCCCACTCGTGGGCAGGTTCGTGCCCTTTGCAGCTGTGGCTGCTGCCAACTGCATCAACATCCCCCTGATGAGACAGAGGTGAGTGGCCCCGATCCTGGTGCCTGCCCTGGGGTGCCTGCCCCACGCTGTCCACCACGCAGACCCCACAGTGGGGCTGCTCCTCTCCCCAGACACGGGCCTGTCTCAGCCTGACCCTGGGATCTGGGCTGGGAGAGCCACGCTGAGTCTAGGCTGTGCACTGGGGCATTGCAGGTGGGATTGGGGCCTGTGATCAGACCCTAACCACCAGCCTTCCCTAGGGAGCTGCAGGTGGGCATCCCAGTGACTGACGAGGCGGGCCAGAGGCTTGGCTACTCGGTGACCGCAGCCAAGCAGGGCATCTTCCAGGTGGTGATATCGAGAATCTGCATGGCAATCCCTGCCATGGGTGAGGCCGGGTGGCTGTGGGGTGGGGGGCACGTGAGGGTCTGATGGGGGTGACGGTTCTTGGGAGTTTTCGAGGACTCTAAGGGCAGTAAGACTTTGGTGAGGAGGGGGAGTACAGAGGGGGGTCCTCTATTCCTTAGGGTTCCCAACTTTGACTCCACTAACTCCCTCCTCCCTGCCCTGCTCTGCCCTCAGCCATTCCCCCCCTGATCATGGACCGTCTGGAGAAGAAAGACTTCCTGAAGGTAGGCAGCTCTCACCTCTCCCATCCTGAAGTGGTGGCGGCCAGGAGAAGTGGCCAGTCCCCAGCCCCAGCCTGGCCTAGATCTAAGACGTGCCACCCTTTCTCCTTCCCCTGCCCCCTTTCAGTTACTCAGCAACAGCTGGGCTCCCAGTGGTGAAGGAGCTCGGAGGAAGCAGGAGGGGACTGGTGGGGGGCAGTGGTTTCTGTCCTGGAGGGATCACCCTGGAGGCCTCTGACACCCACAGGATGGACTGTGACAGTCGCACTTGTACTCACACTGCAGCCCCTGACAGCCACACACACACACACACACACACACACATGTGTGCACACGAGCATATATGGGCAGGACAAGGGAATCAAGGTACTGAAATACAAGCTCTGGTTTATTCATCAAATCACTTACTCAGAAATATTGATTGAGCATGGGACCAGCAGTTAGCGTAATGGCTATGTCATTGGACTCCATTGGACTCTCACGTAGTCGACTGTGGTTCGAGTCCTGGACCCGGTGGCTTAAAACCCACGCTGGGTGCGTGTGTGTGTGTGCCCCAAGATCCCAAGAGGAGAATGGAGGAGAAGGGATTGTGGTGTGACCATCCCCCCTGGGGGGTGATTTCTTGCTTTCTGTCTCTATGTCTCTCTCTGTCTGTCTGGCGAGTGCACGCGCCCTATAGCAAAAAAAAAAAAAAGAAAGATAAAAAAGAAATATGAGCACCAACTATGCACTGGGCAGGTTTTAGGGCTGTGGAAACAACATGAACTAGACGGTCGCGGTGCCTGTCTTCACGTTCCGGTGCAGACACCAATAAATACGACACAAGTTATGATACATACCTTGTAGGAAACCAATGGGCGGTGTAATTGAGACTAGTGAGAGAGAGCTGTTCAGACAGGGTGATCGGAAAAGGGGTCTCGGGCCAGCAGGGGGTGTGGAGGTTAAGGCAGTTGGATACCATGTGACTGACTGCGTGGTTTGAGTCCTGGACCCAGCAGCTTGAAAAACATGCTGGCCCGTGTGTGTGCGTGTCCAAACTCCCAAGGGGGAGGATAGAGAAGGGATTGAAGTATGGCCACCACCACCACCCCCCGGGGGGAAGGGCGATTTCTTACTTTCCCTCTCTGTTTCTGTCTCTCTCCAGCAAGTGCACACACTTGATATAAAAACAAAAACAAAACTCCAAACGATCAAGAAGGACGTAGCCAGGCAGAGAGAAGAGTGTTTCAGGGAGACAATGGCCAGTCCAGAGCCCTGAGGCAGGAACAGACTTGCACGTTTGGCCCCTGTGCCTGGAGTGAGCGGAGAAGCGTGTGCAGGGCAGATGTGTCCGGAAAGGGACAAGTTTATGCCACTGGGGTGGGAGACGGTTAGTGGAGGTTCAGAAGAGGCTCCCAAAGAAAGCGGCTCTTAGTGTGGGAAGAGAAAGGGGGCCAGAGAGCCAGTTCTGGAGGGCAAGGCTGGGTGATGGGCTGCTGGGAAGGCGGTCAGCAAACACCAGTGGAAGGTGGCAATCTGGGGCCCAGCCCTGTCATGTCAGGGGATCAAAGGCCGGGCTGATGGGATAGAGCCACAGTGGGTACGATGGGCAGGGCGGGGAGGCTGGGGACACAATCCATCCCACTGCCCATCTGTCTCCCCACAGCGCCGCCCCTGGCTGGGGGCACCTCTGCAGGTGGGACTGGTGGGCTTCTGGTAAGTGTGCGAGGAGCCAGCGAGGGTGTGGGAGCGTGCTCCCCCTGGTGGGCATACATGCACATTTACTGCCCTTCTGCCCAGACGTGCGGCTGCTGTGTGTCTTGGACACGTGTGGGCATACCGCGTTTGTTAGGGAGGGTCGCTGTCCTTAACGGCCAAGAGTTCAGCAGCGAGGGTGGTGGTCTTCATCTCCAAGGGGAACCACATAAACCTTTGGTCCACGCAGGAGTTTCATGCCCACTTCACTCCTGATTCTGCCACGTTCTGGCCATGGGGCTTTGGTTTACTACTCAGAGGCTCTGCTTGGTCAAAACGTAACGTTCGGGTTGGGTTTAATGTTGTCAAAATGCCCTTTGGGCTTCAGTCAGTCTCCACAGGTGGGGTGGGTTGGAGTAGGGTACAGGAAGGGAACACCCCTAGGCCGCAGCTTCACGGACCCTTCCAACGCTCTTCTTCCCAGCCTGGTGTTTGCCACCCCCCTGTGCTGCGCCCTGTTCCCCCAGAGGAGGTAAGTGCTGTCTCCGGGCCTGGCTTGGCTCTGGGTGTCTCTGGACCAGCCGACCCCAGGGCCTTTCAGTGTTTGGGAGAAGGCCTAGCACGCACTCACTGGTCTGGGGGCTGGGGTGGGAGTGACAGTGAGCCAGCCCTGTGGCAACAGAAGGGGAGGACCTTAACAGCCTGGGCAGAGGAGGGGGGTGCGTGGACCTGAGGGTCAGCCTGCGCTGTTCTGTTGCAGCTCCATCCATGTGAGCAGGCTGGAGCCCGAGCTGAGAGCTGAGATCCGAGAGCGGAACCCCAGCACCGAAGTGGTTTACTACAACAAGGGGCTTTGAGGGGAGCCAGCCTCCATCCCCTCCCTCACCTCTCTGGGCTGCTGCTTTAGTGATGCCTTGCCGTCCCTGCCACTCGGCCATCTGCCTGGTACTGGGCCTGGGTGGGGGGGCAGCCATTGAGACCAGCAATCCGTCAGGCCAGGGGAGGTGGCCCAGAAGCCTTTCTCTCTCCTCTCTGGTTTCAAACAGCAGGGTCACATAGCCCCTTCCTCCTCTGCTTCTGTGTCTAAGTACATATATACATACATGAGACATGTATGTGTTTGGACGTCTGCTCCTGGGATAGTCTGCTTTCTGGCTTCCTTCTCAGCCTCCTGCCCACCTGCTGGCCAGCCAGGTTACAGGTGGGACTTCCTTCCCTAAACTGTCCCTGTGGTGGAGTCATTTCTGATAGCACCTCACCGCTTCTGGAGACAGGAGGAGCCGCAGGGTCTCAGGACAGAGGCTGAGGGGCACTAGCCGGCCACACTGGTTTCTGGTCCCCAGCTCCCAGAGCTGACCAGCAGCCCGGCTAGTGGAGGGAGGAGGAAGACATGCTGGGATGGGGCGGCAGTGGGGTCTGGGGCTTGTGCCCCTCAGTGCCTTCCCTCACCCTGGAACAGCTCTGCCTCTCCTCCCCTCTGCCGGCACGAAGGAGTGTCATACCCTGTCCTGCCCTGCTGCCTCCCCTGTCCCCACCCCACAACATGGGGCTTGTAGGCACCACCTTGGGAGCTCCTGGACTGCTCTGACTCTATGACCTCCAGTCTGGACGCCACAATCCCACCTCCTACAATCCGAAAGCCAGCCAACATTCCCCTTGAGAGCTCCCACCACTCCCTCTCGAAGGGACACAGTGCGGGCACGGTGCTTACACTCCACAGTGTCCGAGTGGGAGTAACTAGGACACCCTCGAGGGCAGCTGGGCCCTGAGTATATGCAGCCCTAGGACAGGCCTCAGACATTCAGCCAAACCCTCCCTGAGCTCTTCTTTCTTGAGGCTTGGCCATGCTCCTACCTCCACCAACCCTGCAAAAAGAAAAAGGGCCCACGGTTCAGTGGCTGGTTGAGCTAGAAGGTGGGGTGAAAACGGGCAGATCGTACAGTTAGATCTCCACTCCAGCTCCCTTGACCCCTGGCTGAAGTGTGGATAGACGGAAGGGCCTGGGGGGCTCCTATGAGGTCACTTCCTGTCCCCCCAGTCAGCTGCCCCAGTGGTAGCAGCTGTGTTGCCGTTGTCCGTCAATAAACCGCAAACCTGTCTGCTTCTGGGTCTTCACTGATTCCGTGTCCCGAGTGCCCAGGAGACGTCTCCTGCCTGAAGCAGTCTCTTCTCTCCCAGGAAGTCCAGGTCTTAGTCTTCCCTCCCCTTCTGCAGGGAGCGTCATCCCCCAGCAGGGGGTGCTCTGAGATTAGAAAATCAGTCCTTTCTTTAGTACCTTGAATACTAGGGTGTGCTTGCGTGTGTGTGTGGGGGGGGGGGGGGGGGG